ATACATGTACATATATATGTATACATGTATATGTATATGTACGTGTATACACATATGTATATGTGTATACATATATGTAAATATATATGTATAACTCCGTTTATATTTTACAGAACGTTGGAAGACGAATGTCCAGCCGAGATTTTGTGGATAATTTGGGCCAAACAGAACATGTGTTCGACTGTGCATTGTTGAAAACTTTATATGCATCAATTAAGGAGCAACCCATCAAATGGGTGGGGTAAGTTCATTACGGTCTCAGTTCTGTGATGAAATATTTGCGTGTAGGTCTGTTGTGGATGTTGAATTTATGATAGATGAAGAATACGTTTCTATTTCAGCGAAATGGACGTTGTGTTGACAAGCGCTGAATCAACGGTAGGGGATACAACATCAACATCAAATGAAAAGAGGAAGAAAAAGCCGTTATCGAAGTCACGATCGACTGTCGGTGATGACGACCAGATCGAGTACAAGGCTGGTTGGGTTGTACGAAAGTGTCTTTTTGACAGGGATGGAAAACGAAGTAATTCCTGCCAGCATTTTGGTGTTCTTTTGATGACATAGTTTTGCATTGAAATCATCCGGACCATTATTGTAGATCCTCCGACGTTATTTCTTTGTAAACAGACCCGTGGTGGGACCGTTCGCGACGTGCTTCCCGTCCTAATTCACTTCAACGCACTTCAGGAGGATGGCTATTCTGTTTCTTGCAACTGACACGGCATGTAGCACATTTGAGCAGATCGAGGGTTTTTATGCGTTTAGTGCTGTGTAACAGCAGTACAAAACGCATAGTCACGGGGTTGTCTGTGTGTGTGTGTGTCCCACATTTTGTCCCACACTTTCAACTCGAGAACCACAAAAACTAGGCGGCTGAAATTTGAGTATAGTGTTCCCCACCAACGGGTGGCGCCGCAAATTTAAATTCACCTTTCCGGTACTCGCGGGTAACACGTGTGGCCCCGTAAAAGTTTTTCGGGTAAAGTCGTTATCTCGGAAACCACGGAAGGTAGAAGGCTGAAATTTTGTGAGCATGTCCCCCGCCCATGTGTTGCCCAAAAATTTAAATTCAGCTTTCTCCTGCTCGCGGGTAACAAGTACGGCCCCGCAAAAATTTTTGACGGGTAAATTATTATCTCGGGAATCACGGGGCCTAGGAAGCTGAAACTTTAGGGCAATGATCCCCTGCCCACGCTGAACCTTGCCTATTCAAATCCAGCGTTCCCGCGCTGTCGGGTATCACTTACGGGCTAGTGAAAGTTTTTTCTGGTAAACTATTAACTCGAGAATCACGAAAAGATATTCACCTTTCGAGATTTCAAATTCAGCTTTCATGCGCAGGTGCGTGAAATTTTTAACTATTTTCCAATGTTTGAACTTTTTTGCATAGACAAAAGTACAAAGCAGTGAAAATCATTAATAGGCAATCATTCGATGGGCTGAATTGCACAAAACGCCGGTGCGGCAAGTCTGGTGTGCGTTGCTGTTTATTATTTTTCTCATAATTACTGCGCACCGTTGGTCTGGCGAAGCGTCTAATTTGTCTGTGAACAAAGTCTTGACGCTAAAATGCCAAAGCTGGATTGTTATGTCTGCTTTGTCGGAAATTGACTGTAAAACCGAGATTTAGTTGTACTGCGAGTTTTTTCACGCCCATTCTGGGAATAGGGGAATCCAGAGCACTTTCCTGGAGAGGGAGGGGACGATTTTTCTCCCCCTCCTTTCCCTCGTTCGACACAGTGTCGAAAGCCCCACTCCCTCCCCTCTGCTCCTCTTTCCGTGTAGAGCTCCTAGCGGCAACAGCAGGGGAAAAGGGGTAAC